TGCTGTGGACTTCCCATTCCTCTGAGGGCCATGGTTTCCTGATGCTGAGAGGACAGAGAAACTCTGAAGTTTTGGGTAATTCTCTCCTCCTCTCTGGGTCTCAGTTTCCTAAATAAATGTAGCATTTAAACTCCATGATTTTGAAGGACCCTCCCAGATCTGACCATCCTTAACTTCATCCCTCAACATATGCTTTAAGAACTTCATCCAAGGAAGATCTAAGTAAGTCAAGAGGTTACAGCTGTAGTGGCCAGGGTGGGCGTTCAGACTTCAGTGGGATAAAGGCCCAAGGCTGAGCCACATAGCTGCAGAAGAGGCATGGAGCTCCTGGTCTGAATGGAAAGCTGTTAACGTGCTAGGCTGGGCTCAAGGACCTGGATTGTGTCCCCTGACCACACACCAGTCAGGCAAGGAACAGAATTCTCCTCTCTGTGGAACTTCCCTCTGCCTCTCTGTGGTGCTGCAGGGAGGCTGAGGGAAGGAAGAGTGACCATCTAGGAAGACAGCCCTGGGCGGGAAATGTTCTGCTCAGGTCTTGCTCTGGCTTCTCCAGCTCCTGATAAGCAGAAGGTGCTGGTTCCCCACCCTGATAGCCCAATACTAGTTTATCAGGGCCCTCAGACTACCCCACCCAAGCTCAGACTCGCTGCCACCCCACACCCTGATCACAAGACCCCCTCTCCTCCACCCCCACCCAGCCAGGAGTCACAGGCTCCCAGTCTCTGGTTGGCTGAGATGTCTCTGTCCCTTTCCCTCTAGGATCCCTGCTTCTGACCATGCTCCCCTCCTCAGCAACTAAGGACTAGGCAATGAGTAACATGAAGTTTGTCCCTGGTGCACAAAGCCCTTCACTCTAAGCTGTGGAGTTTCTGACAAAAGGACAGTCATAGACACCATGAGTTCCTCACCCAGTTAAAACACTTAGCTTATAAATGTTTCTCACTTTTCGTTCTTGATTCATAGAACTTTGTGAGGTTATGTATATTTTCATCAAAGTTTAGAGAAGCAGCAGTTTGCCCCCATTGACACAGCTAGTGAGAAGCAAAAGAAAGAAGGTGGGAAGAAGCCTGACATTTGCTCTATATGTGCTAGGCTTCAGTTTTACTGAGGCTTAATGTGGTGGTGTGGGTTAATGCGCCAGACTGCAAAGCTGTTTGAACTGCAAGGTCAGCAGTTCAGGCTCACCAGCTACTCCTCGGAAACCCTATACAGGGTCGCTATGGGTCAGAATCGACTCGCCGGCACTTCACGACAATATAATCCTCATAATCAGTACATGAGGTGGGTATTGAGGTGGTTAAATGCTGTCAAGTCAGTTCTGACTCATAGTGACCCTGTATAGGGTTTCCAAGGAGCAGTTGGTGGGTTTGAACCGCCAACCAGTGCTTATCCTACAGCACCACACCAGAAGTCCTAATATAGTTCTCGTAATCAGCCTATGAGGTGGGTACTGACAGCTCCTACTTTATATTTGAGTAAACTGAGGCTGAGAGTACTTGGCCCAAAGTCACAGAGCTGGGTGCAGGGGACTGTGACTCAGAGTCTGTCACCTCTAAACCTGGGCTTTTTTGATGATCCTGAACTACTTTTAGGGGTATTTCCATGGACTTTTTAGATGTTCAACAGACCTTGCCTGTGGCCTTCAGTGGCATCCCATGTGAAGAGGTGAGGTGGGAACCAGTTCTGTGGGTCAGAATTAGCTCATCTACCCTCACAACAACTCTTGTGAATTGGGTACTATTATTATTCCTATTTATAAATGAGAACCAGGAAGGCCCAAGGGAGAAAACTCCTTCCCACAGCCTCAGGTCTGGCTCCCTTTGTTCCTTTATATTATGAGGCTCAGCTAGATGTCAGTCATTCAACATAAATGACTGAACAGAGTTACTGCTAAACAGTATGTGCTAGAGACCTGGTATGGCGCTGTAGGATAAGCACTGGACAGCTAACTGCAAGGTCAGCAGTTCAAAGCCACCAGCTGCTGTTGGAAATCCTATAAAACGTGGTTGCTATAAGTTGGAACTGACTAATGGCACACAACAACAGAGCTAAATCAGTGAATAAACCAGGCCCTCGTGATAATTTGTTTAATGTGAATGCTGTTGCTATGTTATATGCTGTTTAGTTGCTTCTGACTCACAGTGACCTTGTATAGAGTTTCCAAGGAGTGCCTGGTGGTTTGAACTGCCAACCTTACGGTTAGCAGTCCAATGCCTATCCTACAGCACCACACTAGAACTCCCAATGTGAATAATCTAACAAATAAATAAGCCCATCACAGAGGGATTGAATTAATTGAGGAAGGTTCCCCCAGAAAAAGTGACATTTAGAGATCTGAAGAGGGAACAGGAATGTACTAGACAAGAAAGGAAGATCAAGCCAAGCAGATGAAGAGCATGCACAAAGGTTCTGTGGCAGAAGAAAAGAGAGGACCTCCAAGAAACTAAAAGAATGTTGGCTCTCTCATCCTACTCTCTCCCCTGGCCTTGTCTGTCCCTGCAGAGGACAGCATAACTACCTCCCAAGCACACAGACCAGTAGGTCTAGGATGGGGGAGACGAAGGAGCAGAGCAGCAGATGCATCCTCCAGGATGGGGGTGGAAATCGTAGAGTCTCCCCTCCCCAGAGACAGAGGACTGAACAATGCCACGTTTTTACTTTAAGTAAAGAATGGGTCTCTACCTACACCTGTGTTGGCTCCGACAAGAACTTGGGATTCAGCTGCGCTTTAAGTCTCCCAACAGAATGCTCTCCACCCAGGGAGGGACCTTGCCAGGGCTGAGATGGATGAAGGGCTAAATGTTTCTCTGCCTGCCTAGGCCTGACCTCCCTGGGGTCAGCTCAAACAAGGCAGGGCCTGGGGACTGAAACCTTGGCCGCAGGATCCTGTGAGCTTACCTCCAGAGAGATCACCATCAATTTAACTAACATTCCCAGCCCTAACCAGGGCTCTGATCAGCAGTAAGACCTGAAGTCTGGGGTGTGGGGTGTGGAGGGCTATGTGTAAGTGGGTGTGGGATGTCAGGCTATTCTTTCTCTTCCCCAGCCCAGCAGATGACCAACTTCATGAGGAGCTGAGAGAAAAATGGATTTCAGACTTAATAAAATCCATAAAAATTAGGTGCAAAAAAGGGTCCAATAGGTCCAGAGTCCAGCAGGGAGGGTTTGAGAGACAAGACCATCTAGGAATAATAATCATAAAAATAGCTAATATTGTCAAACAGGATCAGATGGATTTAAAACAAAAACAATTCGGTATGAACAAGAATCTATTACAGATTTTAGAAATTATATGTTAGTAGAGGCATGTTTTTTCTTAAAGAGATCGTAAGAGATGAATCAATGTTTTTACCTAGGCAAAAGCTGACTGAAGTTGGGGTGGCTTTTTTCATTTTGTGCTTTTCTGGACTCAGCATATGTTTACATTGCTTTTATTAAAAGAAAATCCAGTGGGACTCTGGGCAAGAAGAGTGTTGCACTCTTTTTATTTTCTTCTTTGAATTTCTCTCTAAAAATATCATTTATTTTATAAATGTTACAGGTTTGTGTTTGTTTTCAAAACAATTTTATTGTAGTGAAGTATGTATAGCAAAAAGTTTGCCATGTTTACCTGTTTTGTTTTTTTTTTTAATAATTTCTTTTAAAATGGAATAAATGGCTTTAAAAAAAGAAGGAAAAAAAAAAAAGAGGCAGGGCTTTCTGGAACCCCAGGAAAAGTACTCCACCCAGGGGAGGGGCCAGTGGGGTTAAAAGGCAAGAACCAGCTTGAGTTGAAAGGCAGGGAGAGGACCTCCACACCTCCCAAGACCTACCTAGTCTGCAATTCCAGCTCCAGGTAAGCACTCCTCCTCTGGGCTATGTGTTTGTTTGCTTGTCTGACCAATGGGGACCTTCTGCTTCATGATGTGACCTCTGGCTTGTTTAGCTCTGGCTCCCAAGAGCTCCAACAGACCCTGCTGTACAGGGACCTCTGTTTCTGAGCTCTTCTGGTTTAGGGCCAGTCTTCTTTCCCTAACTCTCTTCAGCTGTCTCCAACCATAGAATCAAGATGCTGCTGGTCCTGGGGGTTGTGGGGCAGGGGGAGGGGAGCTCTGGATGTGTCCTGTCCCCACCCTTGCTTCCCATGCCCACTGCAGGGCCCTGGCTGGGATATCATCATATACTGTAAGTTTGTGATTGAGACACTACAGTATAGATGATGTACTAGTCCGGGAACCCCAGCTCTGGAACCTGATGAGGGCAGGAGATTGTCACGCAGACAGATTGTCGGCTGCCAGGCACTTGGGAATGGCGAGGAAACCGTTACCATTACTGAGTTTAGTAATGGTAACGGTTCTCTTGCTGCACCCAGAAAACGTGCCAAGAAGAGCTCAGGACCCCGAAGCTGTCTCCTGGAAGGGAGGGCAGAAGACTTCAGTTCAGACAACTGGGTGTGGGTGAGGGACTGGCTAAGTTTTCTCTTTTTGTTCTAAACAAATAAAGGTGATAACCAGAATGTGTCTCTTTTAACTTTATTCACATCCAAGATTGGGGAGAGGGATGAAATGGGATGGAATCAAGGACTTGGGGCTCAGGAAGGAGGCATTTTCTCATTCAAAACATATGGGTTCTTACTTGGTTTTAAGGTGGAGGAACTTAGAAGAGAAGAAAGATCTCCTCTCTGCTAACAACTGGCAACTTAGAGAGACACTCTGGGCTCAATGCCAGCTGGAGGCAGGGTGACACTGTTTTCACCAAGGGGCTAACTTCTGAGTCCCAAGTAAGCTGTAGTCCCAAGCAGAGGAACTACCTGGGAACTGAACTCGACAGGGTGCTTTCTCCACCAAGAGAAGTGGCCGTGCAGGCGCTACGCAGACTTGGCCAGGCCAAGCCAGCTAGCCAACAGTCAATGTCCATGCTCCTCACCAGTCCCTAGAGGTTCCTGGGCAGGGACAGTTCTGGTCAGTGTCTCCAGCCAGTAGCTCAGGCTGGGATGCCTGGGGAGGGGCAATAGGGGATGGTCACTTGAGGAGCTTCACCGAGAGGCGGAGCTGAACATCACAGAGGAAGATGTCCATGAGGTCACGGCCCACCTCCTGTGCTATCTGGGCAATCAGTTGCCCCTTCTGACCAATCAGGATTTTCTGAGGGTGGGATAAAAGAGAGGGCCATGGTCACACTCTCAGGGCTCCCAATAAGCAGGGGAAGACCCTCCATCTACAGAGCCTTGCCCCTCTTCTGAGTCTCACCCCACTTACCACATGAGATTCTTTGGGCACCAGAAGTTTCTGTAGGATCACCAGTTGGCCACTTGGCCCTTCCTCCCACACCTCAGTCTTCTGCACAGGGAAACATCAAAATTCATCAGTCAGGCTCATAAGCCAGCCTCTCTGGGACCCAGCTGTTCTGCTCTGGGTATGTGTTTGGTGCTGAACCCCTGGGCCCCTTCACTGTGCCTGCACCTGCTGTACATTGTAGGGCACCTCCTGGGGCAGGTACTCGAGGAGCTTCTCCCGGATGATGTTGGCACAGATCTCCTCAGGGGTCTGGGTAGTGAGGACTCCACTGTGGAACTCCCAGGGTCCTGGCCGGGCCTGTGCCAGGAGGTACTGCTGTAGGCACAAGGGAAGGAGGTAGACATCTCAGTCCTAACCTGACATTTCCTACTTACCTGAGGCTTGTCTTTCCCTGATGGAAGCTAAGGGGTAGGGTAGGGCCAAGGCTAACTGACCTTTAACGTTGTCACATCCTCTTGGCTTAAGGCTGATAACATAAAGATCTCCTGGAAGTGAGGCCAGCCAATCCTCTGAGGGCCTCCTACAGGCTGTGGGTCTGGGTCCTTAGCTTCTGGGCTGGAGCAATGAGTACTAGGATGTGTGGGGAAGGCCTGTTTCACCTTGAGCTTCTTCCCATTGACCACACCTTCAGTGAGGGCTGCTGTGAGCCCCAGGAGAACGGACTTCTGCTTCAGACAATCGACCTGGGCATGGGGCATGGGACATGTGCAGGAGTATAGTCAGAGGAACGAGGACCTTGGAGGAAAGTAGACCTATTTTCCAGATGGGTGTGCTCACCTTATTCAGGACAAGGATGCTAGGAACCTGGGAGAACTGGGTCAAGCACTGGAGTACCTGGGGGCTGAGCTGGTTTCGAGTCCACTTGTCCGAGACATCCACAAGAACCACAACTGGAAGTTGGCAGAATGGAAAGCATGACAAAGATATGACCACTCTCCCCCACATAATTTCCCACAATATGGGGTCTGGTCAGTCCCCAAACTCTTAGGAATGAGGGTCCTGGGTTTTAGAATCCCACCCTTAGCCTAACCAAGATCAGCAGATTCCATGCTCTTCCAAGGATCTTCCAGCAAAGAGAGTTCCAAATGGTGCCTGAGGGATAGACATACATCAGTCAAGAAGTGTCTGCTAGAAAAGGCATTCCTGTAAAGGGATGGGTAGGTAGTATGTGAGGGGGGTTTCCAGCCCCTACTATTCCCCACTGAGCCTCTCCCCTCACTCCTCAACACTTTCCCCCCTATTACCACCAGCTATTTATTACCTCTTCTGTTTAATGGGGCTGATGAGGCCAGGTGTGTCAAGGAGAATCTAAAATCAAGAAAGAGATGTCCAGGTCCCAGGAGAAAAGATTATGGCTAGGGATTAAGAAATGGAGCACCCTTCATGCCAAGAGTCTACATTTCTTCTTGGCTAAGCTATTGCTGAATCTGTATTTTTACCCCTCACCTTTTAGTTTTTGGGGGGACCCAGGAGGAAGATGAGATTTTGACTATATGAAGGATTAGTAAGCAGTAGAGAAAAAATAAGATCTTTCTGACTGGATGCCAAAGCTGGAAGGTGGAGACAAAATTGCACCAAGCCTAAAGAAGAGGTAACCCCCTTCCCTGAAATAACTGTGTCTATGCATCAGTTTCTTCAGGTTAATCATAAGGGAAACCCTCTTATCTGCCCCCTCTAGCCTGTTTCTAGGACTTCCTTTGCAGGTACCCACCACCTGGGCCTCCTTTTCTGTGATGACTCCCAGAGCTTGGCAGCGAGTGGTGTGTACCTTCTTGGAGACAGGAAACACCTGTCAAAACAAAGAAGTCCCAAGTAAGGCCCCAGACCTCTCCAGGACCATCCACGAAGGCACAGCAAAAAGTGAGAGATCAAAAGGGCAGAGGATCAATACTTTTCGGCCCAGCAGCTGGTTGGAGAGCGTTGACTTCCCTGCATTTGGGGCTCCTAGGAGGACCACTCGCAGGACCCGAGGGTTCTCAGGCATGTCGGGACGATGAACCAAAAGGAGATTCTGCTCCTCTGGGGGATGAGAGCGAGAATTTGTATTCTTTATCAGGTGCTTAATCCTGTCTAAGTCTACTGTGCCAGATTGAAGCCAAACCCTGGGGTCTGAGTCTTAATTTTGCCATTAACTTGCTTTTTGTGACTTTATCCGGTCCTCTAAACCTCTCTGAGTCCCTTAGTTTCTCATATGTAAAATGAAGACAATAATATAAACTTACAGAACATCTTCTGTTTTGACCATTGCAGTTGTGCAAAACAAATCAGTCAACACCTGGCATTTAAAAGATGTTCAATGATTGTTGTTAAATGTATGTACATGGATGAAAGTACAGTTAGACTAGATAGAATTCCTCTAGTTCTGGCCATCTCACCCTACTGAGGGCGCTATGTTACAGCCCTTTTATCACATTGCATTGCAATGACCAGCTTCCCCGCCTGACTCCAGTCTGTGCTAGTTAAAGAGTGGGTGGTGGTGGTGGTTATGTGCCATGGAGTCGGAACCGATTCATAGCGACCCTGTACAGGGTTTCCGAGGCTGTAAATCTTTATGGGAGCAGAAAGCCTCATCTTTCTCCCGCGGAACAGCTGGTAGTTTCTAACTGCTGACCTTGGGGTTCGCAGCCCGATTCTTAACCACTACGCTACCAGAGCTCCTTAGTTGAAAAGTAGAGGTTTCTATTTCTCCAGGTGTAACTCAGTATTTAGTAGATCAAGTTTGCTTTCTTTGTGCGAACACGGATCCACAACTCTTCCTGGCCTGACGACCTTCAACCACATGCTCTTTTATTAAAGTCTCTGGTTATGACTGGATCAGCTTCCTCTGCCCCCACCCCCAAAAAGTCTTCGACCCTGGAATGTCTTTCCTGTGAGATCCTTCATTGCTTGCCTCACACTTAAGTCTTCTCAAGATCGCTTTCTAGAAAATAAGGGCAAGGATGATATTCCTAGAGACTGAGAAGGCTTCTGACGCAGGACTTTACGGGCAAACTTATCTGGGCCCTTTACCTCTGTACAAGGACACCGCGGGGACACATGGAGTCAGAGAACTGTCAGGCTGAGAAAGTCCAAGGAAGCGGTCCAGAGCAGAGCCCTGGCCGTAACAGCGAGAGGCCGACGACAGGCGTGGACCAGAGAAAGCAGCGCCTGCGACACAAGACACATCCCTCCGCTGATAGCCCATGAATGAGGGGAGCTGCCTCACCCAGTCCCTTGCGGTTTCGGGGCCCAAATACCAGACCCCTACCACAGTGCGAACTAGCCTAGCCCCACGCTGGCCGGGGGCAGCCATTGCAGCCGCAAGGCACCCCGGGAACCGTCTCAGAGCACACCTACGATTGGATGGAAAGGCGGAAACAGAGAGGGAGGGTGCTAGAGCCATCCAGAGAGTGGAGACACACCCAGTTTCGGAGATAGGATGAGGACGGGCCACTTTGGACACTTGCAAAGGCTAAGGGAAGAGAAAAATGTATTGTTAAAATCTGTTTGAACATGATGATTGTTTTGGATTTCTAGATACACTGTGTTTTTTTCCTTCCCTGACAGAGTTTTGTAACAAGGCCCTTCTAGGTCGGCCTCCTGAAAGACTACAACTCCCAGGAGGCCAAGCGGCAGAAACCTTCCCGTGTTGAATCACACGGAGCCTGGAGAAGTTCACGTGTTGGAAGGCAGTTTCGCCAGCTCTCTTAACGGACTACATGTCATTCTCTGCCCCAGGCCTGCAGGGTCCTCTCCTAGTACCACTGTGACTTGGCCTAGTGGTCGGTCTTGGGAAGCCTGGACCGTTGCTGTGAGGAGTGGTCATTGGATGTGATCACCCCGAGGGTAGGAGTTTCTACGTAAGGAATTGCAGACTGAATTGCAAGGTCGGTGATTAAAACCCACCAACCCTCCCTCAGAAACCCTATGTCAGAACTGACTCGACCGTACTTAACATTTCCTTCCTGTAAGCCTTGGCCACTTTCTTCTCTCTTAGACCATTTCTGGAGGAAAAAAAAAAAAAACAGAGGGTTCACAGAAGGGTAAGAAATTGCCTGGTGTTCTGGTGTGAAAGATAAGCATTAGACTGCCAACCTCGCAGTTCAAACCCACTAACTGTACCTTGGAAACGCTAAACAGGGCCGCTATAAGTGGAACCAACTTGGCACTTAACATTTTAGTGATCTGAGGATTTGTGACCTTGAGCCGTCTTCACCTATCGAAGTCTCCCAATCAGATTATTGAAACCACAGATAAATCCTACAGGGAATGGGGGATTTATTACACATCTACTGTGTGAAGGCCCTGTCCAGGTGCTGGGAACTCATCAGTGAACAAAATGGCAAAAATCTCTGTGAAACTTGCATCCTGGGAATACAGTGGCAAGACATTAAGCAGTACACGTTATGACATATCTTAGAAATTCTATGGGGAAAAAAGGTAAATGGGAATTGGGGGCTGTAGGGGTGAATGTTTGTAATTTGAATAGGGCAATCAGCTGGACCTTATTAAGAAGATGATATTTAAACAAAAACTCTAAGTAGGTGAGGGAGTGCACCAAATGGATATCTGAGGGGAAGAAAGTTTCAAGCAGAGGGAATAAACTAGTGCAACATCTCTAAGGTGGACTGTATTTTGAGGAATAGGAAAGAGATCAGTTACAAATGGAGTAAAGAGGAGAGGGAAGGAGAATAGGTCAGCTAGATAACGTGGTCAGATAGGGTATAGGTGTTTTGGCTTTTACTCTGAGAATGGGTAACAGCAGGAAGGTTGGTGACTTACATATTAAAAGGGTAAGGGTGGAAGTGGAGGCTTTTGCAGTCATTCAGATGATAGATAATGTCTAAGACCAGGCCCTACCAGTGGAGAGTTGAGATAAGGTCGGATTTTTTCAGGTATGTGATTTGCTGATAGATTGAATATAAGGTATGAAACAAATAGAAAATAAGGGTGGCAAGACTTTTGGTCTAGTTATTGTTGTTATGTGCTGTGAAGTTGGTTCCGACTCATAGCGACCCTGTACAGGGTTTCCGAGGCTGTAAATCTTTACGGGAATAGAAAGCCTTATCTTTCTCCTGCGGAACAGCTGGTAGTTTCGAACTACTGACCTTGTGGTTCGGAGCCCGATTCGTAGCCACTACGCTAGCAGAGCTCCTTTGGTCTAGTTATAAGAGGGACAAAACTGTCAGTGAGATAACGTTGCTGTTGTTAGATGCCATCAAGTCAGTATCGACTCATAGCGACCCTATGCCTCATGACAGAATGAAACATTGCCTAGTTCTGCACCAACCTCACAATTGTTACTACGTTTGAACCCATCGCTGCTATCACTGTGCCAATCCATCTCATTGGGGGTCTTCCTCTTTTTCTCCAACCCTCCACTTTACCAAACATGATATTCTTCTCCAGGGACTGGTCCTGTGAAGTATGAGAGATGAAGTCTGGCCATCTTGGCTTCCAAGGAGTATTCGG